AATTTATACAACAGTTGCGGTTTAGATTAAAATAGGGATGAATTCCAGCACCCCACCAATGCCTATTGCAGCATCTTTATGTACACCCCTAACCCCGAAATTGGAGTTCTCCCTGTGTGTGCTTTTCGAAATTATTCCCCGTCTGGCAGGTGGAAAAGATGGAGGTGAAACAAAATGCGAACGAGATGTTTTGATGTTCAATTATTCGACGACGAGCTGCTGTTTGTAGATGCGGATGGGGGTGGGAAAAGGAAATAAACGGGGGTGATTGAAACGAACGTAATGGATATTCCTGTTCGTTAGTGACAGTTTCGACGGGGATTACTGATAGAAAATGTGCATTAAGTAGAGAAAAATAATTCGTTTGATCGAATCGAAATAGAAGAATTTTTCGGTGGAGGAGCGTAAGGATAATCTGTTGTAAAGTCAACAACTGTGTCATCCAGGACAAGTTGGAATTGAATACCTATTGACCCGTATTTTATTATACGGCAGATGTTCCTGCTGTAGGTACTCAGCATTTCAACACCACAACAAACACTCGAAAACTTCCTGCGAATTTCCATTATAATCTCCCTATTGAAATTCTAATTTCGATCGGGATTTCTTAATTAAGTAAATACTGCATAATTAGGAATTCCGTATAAGTTTCTGCTGGAGAGCAGAACGCTAGTAAGTAATCTCGAATTTTCATAATACCGCTGCAGGATTTTGTCCTGCATCAGCACGGATTAATCTCCGATAGATGGAATAAATTTGTAATAAGCTAAAGTGCTTTTATCGGCTCGACGAATCCGTTCGAAATTTACACGAAACTGCCATTCCGATATCATTTTAAGACAAAAAAACACAATTCGCGTATTTATAACTATATCATCCAGTAACAATGAAAGCCGACTAGCGAGCACAAGAATCCGAAACTTTTAATAGTTCCTCCGGGAGAATTCAAAGGGATCTTTCGACGCCAAGAAAACCAACAACGAACAGAGAACAGAAACGCCGCTATACAACAATGCGAAGCGATGCGAAGAATCGCGATAGACAATGTAAAGAACAAAAGGGAATTTCGACAGTTTGCCAGGAAATTATTTGGAACCGAACTTTTCTTCAACCATACACGCGTTTTATTCAGAATTTTATCCACGAATCCTGACATAGTGCAGCTCCGAACGAGGCGCTGGAAAAATTGGGGGCGATTGGGGCGGCATTCTGACATTCCGACGCCTCCCCCACTCGCCCCTTAACCTGTCGGCCTCTCCTTTTCAGCCCCCCAGTTCGGAATGTGGACGCCAGACAGAATAGGGCGAGTCGCCTCAAGGATATATTACGGTACAAAGGGCTAAAGTCTCTAATATAAATTATCCCTCGCCCAAATTCTCCTAATTTCAGCGCCATATAATTACCAAATAAACGATGTCCGCGTTAATCTGGTGATGATCGCAATCTTGGTTATCAGTATACACTCATCTGGTTTGTACTTTGTATTTAAATTCATTCCAGATTAACGAGAATGTATTAAAGATGGGGTGGTTCGAAATATTTTAAATGAATCCGTATAGTTTCGGAATCCTCTGGTGATTCCCCCTTTACGAATTAAAAGGTCGTTATTCGGATGAAAAATTAACTGCACTGTTATTAATATTCAGATATTGAAATTAGGAATGATTTTTTACCCGGAACTTTTTTTTCCTAGTGGCTCCGTAAAGTTTCGACATCTTTCGACTGATATTAATGGTATCTTCCGGGGAAATATAAATAGGAGAGTCGTTTTTAACGTTGCCACAGCCCTTTTCCTACTAACTAAATATTATTAATGCGTTTAAAGGAGATATTTTCACTATTTTCCCGGTAATTTGGATGCAAATACCCGCGAGAATATCGAGTATAATATCGCCATGTTCTCATCAGCATGCTACGCCCGAAATTCCTCCGTATTATGCGCTTTACATCTAAGAGATGATTAGATTTTTTTTGATCAACGCGATACCTACTCCTACGTTGCCAAATCTACCATTTTAACACTCAATCTCCCACTCATAATTACCCAACAATTTCAATCACTAAATGGTTAATAGCGTTCGTATTGCAGGCGAAATCTTTCATGGACAAGAAAAATAATTCATTTGGAGCATCTTCCGGGAGCCATATTCGAATTATTTATACACTCGGCAGCGTCGAAAAGACCTAAGAAATAAGGAACATCAGCATCCCGGGCACGAATCGTGTTATGCACGGTAATGGTTCCTCTCTAGACGCTCCTTCGTGGGTCGCCGAGATTTTTTTCCTGCCTCGTCATGCAACCGAAAAATTACTGGTAATTTCACGGCGCGGTGATTATAAAATTCAATTCCAAAATAAACAATCTACAAGTGATAAAAACATCTTCCTGCTGCTACTGCAGTGCAGATAATCCTCAGTGGAACATTTTCTATTTATTAGGAACGTTTAGCGAGTGTGTTATGTCGCTAATATTTCTATAGTAGAGCAATTTGAGCCGAGTATACGAGGAGAATATACACACAAAAAAACTGGCTTTCATTTTGGGAATTTAGAGCCTGCTGTAGCTGCTTAGAGCCCGCCGTCACCTTCCAATAAACACTCCGAGATGGCAGCCTTATATAAATCAAGAAAATTGGAGGAAATTTCTGGTGTATTCTATCCGGGGGGCGTCGGGAACGGCAAGGACGCGAAATTGGATGGGTTTGGTGTTTGAAATTTTCCATCCAAACTGTTTCCCATTAATCAACAGATTGTTGAGCCGTTACCTGAGTAAATTTTTATTGAAATTGGATTCTTTAAAGTTCCTATCGGGAGGGTTTTATTGTCGCTATTTAAAAATTAGAGCATCTTTCTAGGATGCTACAAACCCGAAGGAGTCTAATAATAAGATAAAAAGATTCTTTGTCTTGCCGAATTCGAAGGAAGGAAAGCAAAAGTTGCATTTAAACAGGCGCCGCATTCGCGTATTTTTCTGTTTCATTTAATTATGAATGTACATAAATTTTAATTCAGTCTGGTTTCGCTCGTTCCGGAAGATTTATGGAAGGAAAATTCAAATTTTTTAATGTACATCGTTCGGCTAAATTAATGAAAGTTTCTGCTAGTTCTGCGCCGTTATGATTAAAACCGGCCGAAATTATCATTCAAGAATGTCTGAAAAGTTCGATGCGGGCCTTTTTCGTACAACAAATAAATGGATTCGTGTCGTTAATGAACGAAATTAAACGGCTAATGACATGCTGTATAGAGGCTAGAAAATAAAGGGTTTAAAGAACTCGATTTTATTGACCGTCGAACTCGAGAGGCAAAGGCCAGATGTGTTCGGCATCGGAATCAACGCTTTACGGAAGAAATAAAATTAAATGGGGTAATTTAATTTTCCGGTTAAGGTCGCCATTGTGTGGCAAATTATTGTCTGGGGATGCGGGGACTTTTGTCTCGTTCGGCTTCGGCTTTAAACTAAGTTTCCCAATACAGGATGGAGCCTTTTTGCTTAGCGTAAATTCATTTAAATACGGTAATTTTATTTATAACAAAAATATATTTAATTCGAAACGAAGTGAGGCACGAATCGATGCGTACCGATACTAAAGATTTTTTTTATCTTTAAGCAGAGCGTTTTAGGAGGAGTAAATGAAAGATGTAAAAAGAAGTGAAACTTCACCTTGTAGCATCGGTTTTTTTCTTTGAAGCTTTGCGAATTTCGTAGCGGAATCGATGAGAGAGGGATTGAAGGAAGACCATTAAATTCCGACTCCACGAAACATCAATTCCCCCCAATAAAAAAAATGGAAAATATTCGTCAACGGACTGTGCCAATTAAAATTTCTGCTACTCATCTCCTTTTTTCCCTTCGAACGCTCGCAGAAATAAAAAAATCCGATACATTGTACTACATTCGGATCGTCGTCGGCGATAAATTAATTTCGAATTAGTAATAAATTCCGAAGATAAAAATACTCAATCTCTCCGACTCGAAGATTTCCCTCCTTTAATATATTCGCTTCAAATTCGGAATCGTTAAAAAGGGCGGTAAATCCATCCGAAAGGAACGTTTTCTTGAAAAGAACGTTTGCTCATTAATTCCCTCCGTCCGATGGTTTTTATTGCTTATTGATTTTCGCAGCCCGATAACTATTTAGTTTGTTATTCGAGTTGCATCCCCGCCGGCAGGAAATATCAGGATTTAAGAGTTTGCACCAATTCGTTCGAAATTTTAAACATACTTGTTCCAATTTTACTATTTAATATTTAAACCGCTTTCGCAACAAGTTGAATTAATATTAGTCGGAAGTAATATCCAACTGGGGAGGTAATTTAGTCTGCGAAATTAATTTGGCATATAACCACCCTAATTAATATAGCTTAGTGTATGCGGTGAACATGGGACGGTATATAACAGGTATTTAATAATTATTTGGATTGTTAGAATAACTGTTCGGATGCCATCAGGTGTGCTCGCCAAAATATTAGTCATTCAATTTACTCCAGGATATTCCTTGGGCTCGATTTCCTCGTAATCGATTGGTAATTAAGCTCGTAGAGTATTTTGTATTCCCCGTTATCGACGATGCCGTCAGCGAAAAAAGGGAGTCCTCTTTCAACAGTAGGTAGTTAAATATTTAAACGACCTTCTTCAAGTCGGAGTTTGAGGGAAATTTATATTTCACCGTTGTTGACCCGTCGCCGTTCCACCCTAATTCCGCGTTAGTCGTCACGGAAAATGTAAGTTTCGAAATTCAGCGACCCTTAAACCCTTTGTTTTATTAATTTCAATTCCCCCGCTTCGCTAAATCTGGAACGAACGTCACACATCCAGACACTTTTGTATCGAATTGGAGCTCGCTTTCCTGCATAATTTACGAACCATCGAATGTAGGAAGCAACTAAAAATAACCAGGATGTATAAGAAGTCAGCAGGATGATAGGAAAGGTGCGCGAATTCGGAATCTATACAGCTTGTAACTGACCGAATGAGAAACAATTTATTTAACAACGAACTATTTGAATGTGTTGAGGTATTTTTGATAGGCGAGATGCCTGTAGTGGGAATAGACCGACTTGCCGGCGTCCAAAACTAAGTTGTAAAAGGATCCTTCGCTTTCTAAAAGCGAAAACGGGTGATCGTATTCGACGATTTGGCCCTTTTCCATCACCGCCACTCTATCGCATTCCACTATAATCGGGTTTAAATTGCTGGTGATGTGAACAACTGTACAGTCGGAGAAATATTTCTTCACCGATTTATAAAACAGCCCTTCGGTACTGAAACCCCCATATCGATTCAAAAATTATGTACCATAATTCCTTAGATATGCTTACTCTTTATCTACATCCGCAAATTCTTCATCGATTATTAAGATTTTGTTTTTCTTTACAATCGCTAGAGCTAAATTAAACAGCAACAATTGACCTTTGTTGAGTTTGGACCAGTTGTACTCCAGATGCTTTACATGCTCTTTTAAATTCATCTAAAAGTAGATAATAAAAATCCCTATTCTAAAATTAAATTATAATTACCTCGTCCAAAATCGGCATCAATTCCTCAGACGGTACATCTCCAAATATATCTAACTTGTAATCCGAGCAATTGGAAAACATTACAGGTTGTTGGATGATCGAAATGCTCCCTCTCAGATGTGCCATATCAATCAGTTTAGTGTTAAAATTGTCGATTAAAATCGTACCATTAAATTGCCGCAAATTAAATAAAGCTGTTACTAGAGATGACTTTCCTGAGCCAGCTCTCCCAACGACTCCAATCTGCTAACCAATTAACTTACACCATGTCATATTTTCGAGAGAATCCTTACCTTCTCGCAACATTTCACCGTGAAATTAACATCATCCAGGGCACGAATCGCGTTAAAGTACATCATGGATACATTTTTGAATTCGATTTGGCCGCATTCGGGCCAGCTCTGAGGGGGTAATTGCACTTTCTCGATTTCCGAGAGCTCCGACAGGAATTCCGCGCTGTCGTGGTGTTGTCTCCTGCTGGATTTTTCGTCGGGAACGTCGGAGAATTGCAGCAGTTTTTTCACGGATATCGCGATGAATGCCAAACGGCTCAAATTCTTCGAACTGTACTGGAGAATCTCTGTTAGTAAATAGACCTCGAGGATTATGAAACCGGCGAAATTGGAATCTATTCGGTGAACTGTAAATAGTAAAATATGTTTGTGAGTTGTAATGAGTTTGTTTGGTTAATTTTACCGTAATCGTTGATTAGAATCAAGCTGAATATTACAATAAATAGCAATGAGCTGCATAAGGCATCCGATATCATCACAAATGAGTAATTTAACGAGAGACTTAATCTTTGAAGAGATGTAAAATAGTTCTAAAAATATTCTTGTTATTAATGCTAGTAGAAAATTCTTCGCTAATTCTCACCAAAAATTTATCGAATTGTTTTACAGACTTTTCTTGTCCCTCGTGAATTCTTACAGTCACCACTCCTTCTAGGGTATCTTTTAAATGCCACAAAATTGGTAAACGAGCTAAAATTAGTAAATACATTAAATAATTTTATTTCAATTTCCTCGAAGAATCGTACCAGTTTCCGTTAAATTTATCAGAATTTTGTTAATTTCTAAATAAAAATTTTGCACCAGAAGATACACAATAACCAAAGGTAACGAAAATATCAGTATGTACTCGGTTGTGTACACTAATAGAAGGCAACAAGCGGAAAATATAACTATCTAAAAATGATAAAATTGATATAAAAATTTATAATTTCCTATTGAAATACTTTACCTCCAAAGCAAGTTTAGAAATTTTAGGAAACTCCAAGTTAACTATCGATACATCTTTCATAAAAATAAGTAATTTACTTCTGTAATCGGTGATAATTGCTTCTAAAGCAGCTCTTAATACGGAATCGCTGAATCTTCCATACAACTTCTTAATCAAAATTGAATAAACGCGAATTATTAGACTGTTGGTAATAATAATCACACCTATTGTAATTAATATTAAAGTGATATATATGGTAATGTTGTTGTAAAATAAAACTTGGGGATGCGTGATGGTGAAGACGCTTCGAAACGGATTGGAAAAGAGCGATGATAATTCAGTTGAATTTTCTGTTTTGGGAAAAACGCTAGTCCTGTTAACAAAAACGACGATATTACAAGTGTTATCGGACCGAAAATGCAGTTATTTACCAATAGGCTAACCAAAAATCGCATCCATTTAACAGAACGAACGACAGAATCAACAGTAAACATATGAAACAAAAATACCATCCGGTTTTATAAGTGCAGATGAAAATGTTGTCGAGGCTACGAATTTTTTTCGCCGAAAAATCCTCCGGATTAGCATTCAACAATCCATCCTGTAACACGACAATAAATTTTACATTCCCAAATCCACAACACTCACTTTTTGCCGATCGAAGTTGTTCGATAATCGACTTTTCCTCGCCGCATTTCCATCGTTCATCCAACTGTAAATATCAATATTGCTGTTCTTAATTTCCGTCAAATTGTCGAAGATTTTCGCCCGGCCCTGAAAGGGTCTCTAATTACTTCAAAATTTCACACATAATCGCTCCAACCTGATAAACAACGATAATCTGATCGGCTTTATCCAGAAACTCCAAATAATTCGCGACGATGATTCTAGTCTTCCTGGCCAAGTATCTGGTGAAACAGTTCTCGAACAGCTCGGATACATCACCGGTATTCAAGGCAGGAAAAACGTCATCGATAAGGTAGATATCCGCCTCGTGATAGATAGCTCTCGCCAAATTAATCCTCGTCTTAAGGTCCTCCTCGAAAACGATTCCCCCGTGACCCGCTGCGCTCAAATCCCCGTTCATGAACCGGCTGAAATCGGGAAGCAATTTGCAAGTGCCGGTTATGTTTTTGTATTTGGCCTCTCTGTAATCCCGACCGAAGAGTATGTTGTTGCGAATCGACGATCTGTACAACCAGGCCCTTTGCGAGCAATAGGACAGAGACCCTTTGAATTCGATTTTTCCGCATCTGGGCGTCTGCTCCTTTAGCAAAAGCTGCAGAAGAGAGGTCTTGCCGGATTTCTGCGGGCCTATAACGAGGCATAAAGCACCCGATTTGATTTTAATATCGTCAATTCTCAAGTCGAAATCGGTTTTATCCGACCAACGGTAGCAAAGTTTCTGTACGTGGATTCCGGGTTTTTCGTTTCTCGCATCTTCGCTGTCGCCGATTTCGGTTTTTTGCAGTAATTTCGTCGCCGTGGAAAATAATTCTGTCGATTCCGCGCATGTTTTCAACTTCTTCGGTATCCAGTAGAGGAAGCCAATTAGCATTATGAAAAGAAACTGCGCGCAGGGGTAGACCTGCTCGGGTTGCAGGGACTTGTAATGCAAATAGATGGACACCATCGATATGAATATCGAACATTTGTACACTAAAAACCCGTACAATGTCGATAATTGATAGGTGAGGTATTTTCTGATCGCTTGTAATTCCGTTTGGTGAGTTATATTTAGAATTTTCACGAAAGCCGCTTCCCAGTTATTCATTTTAATGGTTTTTATTCCCTCCATGATGCCTTTGAAGTACTGGATTCTCGAGTGTTTCGAATGGTTCACTTTCAGATCGTAAAATACCTGGATTTGATTGTAAATAACTGAAAAATATTATAGGTGTATAATTCTAGCGAGTTAATGAATTAAATAGAAGCTTACTAATCAAAGGAAAGACTATCGTTACAGTAAATAGCAGGCCCGTTAACGAAGGAAAACCTATTACTACCCACATAGCTATTACAGTGTTTATAAACTGTATTGATACAATTAAACACATAGCTTCTGAATTTACTATATTTTCGATGCAGTTAAAATCTTCAACCAGCAACTGGGTAATAGTTTTAGAATTTCCTTCCAAACATTTCGAATTTATTTTCACAACCTAGAAATTATAGACCAGTTAATGTTATAATTAAAAACGTTGTTTGTTTGGTACTTTTCTGTAAATCAAAGACGAAAGCGCCGCTCTAATTCTTAGAGCGATTTTGTGCAACTGGAGTTGCGCAAAATGCTCTATAGCAAACATCAGTGCTGTAACCACGATGTATGTTGAACCAAAAAGATATCTTTGGGAACTATCGAATTCTTCTCTAAACGTTCGTATCAAAACAGCCAAGAGAATGCACAAGCCAGGTCTGTAAAAAATTGGTCTGTAAAATCGAAGCTAAATTAAACAGATAACCGACCTCATAAACGCGTAGGTTATCAACAGAACCAATTCCATCAGCCTCTTTTTGTAACCGAACATCTTCATTACGACTTTCCACAACACCGGTTTCCTTTCAATCCTCCACAAGTACTCCAGTTTTCCGCCCAAAATGCCAGCCTCGTCTTCATCCAGAGCCGGCAGCTCCGAGTAGAGCTCGGGGTCCCTCAAGAATTTTTTAAAAAACCCCACCGTCCAGCTGAAATTAAACCGAAATAACTCCCATCGCTTGTACTCCACGAAACACTTACACGAAAAACAGTTTCGAAATCGCGTTAACATTCGATTCCGGATTCCGCAGTTTCGGATCTTCTTTACCGCTTTCCATTTCGAACGAAAATTTATCGCCAAAGCGTTCGTTTCGGTGCAACGTAGAATAATGCGGGCAAAAAGTTTTTAGGTTGTTAATTAAAAGTATGATGCATGGATCGTTAATTAACTCGTACTTTAATAATTGTTGTTGGGTTGTAGGAATTTTTCCACGGCGCTTGTTAGGAATTGTTATTTCGGTGTTTGTTTAGAATAAAAAATGTGTGTTGATTTACTATTAATTAAATCGGTTGTTTCTGATTGAATTTCGTTGGTAGAAGGGCTGTTTTGTGTGGTGCGCAAAAAGTAAATGCGTTGGAAAAACAATATAGAATTTTTCCATTAGAGGGAAAATGAGATCTTTTCTCTAACGCACTTTTTTCGTTGCGATTTTTTTCTCTAGCGACCGGCAAAACCTATTCCGAAACGACCTTAAGAAGCCCCATTATTGTATATTCTCGAAGAAAGCTCGATTATAAAGACATGATTGTTTAAACACGGCAAATAACGTGAGCATTTATCCAACGTTTTATAATAAATTCCCATTAAATTCTTCGGTGGAAGAATTATTAAGCTAGCGAAAAACGAAATCCGAATAGCGCGCCGAAGCTTCCTCTATTTTTAACAATCCAGATTGTATAATAAACATTTCATGTCGAAATATCATTAGATTTCCGCAAACAATGCTCAATTCCGCTCGTTTAGAACGCGAAACGTTTTTCCACGTGAACAATAACCCCGACACGCTACACTATGATGGAGCAAACGAAGTTCCTTCCATACACATTTCGATAATTTCCACGGAAATAAAGCGCATATTCCAACAAACAGATTCGTTCGAAATAATAATTTCGGTTTGTAAAAAGCGAAGGATCATTTTCGAATATCTCGGAAATCAAATTAAGGGAGGCTCCGCCGGAGTGGAATTCGTTCCGATATTTATTTGCGAGTTTAAGGGGTAAGTTAACTCTTCTAAATTATTGTTCTTAATTGAGTTGCCGAAAAGGCGGTGTTTAGATGATGTTTTTTCCGAGGGAAGGCGATTACTGTTTTATTAAATTCGCGGTCGAAATGATGGAAGCCGCTTTAATTAAATCCCGAAATTCCGCTAAATATGCTCAAGAAATGCTCGCGAATGATTTTGATTGAATATTAAAAATATTTCCGGTGGATCAACGTTTAATTAAACAACCCAGTAGTATTTCTATTTTACCGATTTTTTGGTATTTATAAAACTAGAAACCTCATTCTTATACAGCTCGAGTGCCGCCGAATTGGGGTCATCAACCTAATCAATTCTGTGCTCATAAATCCTCCACTATAGCCATTTAAAAACCCATCTATATTCTGTTTAATAGAAGCAAAAGTTTTTCGATTGCTCTAATGCATATGCCTAATATTAATGATTTATGGCAATGTTGAACTCCGGTGTAGGTGCATATCTACAGAAAAACAAAACAATAAAATTCCCCACGAACTTTTTAGTTCAACAATATTAGTTGAAATCAATTTGTGGAATGAACATATCAAAATGCAATAGAGGGAATTAATTTTTTGTGCATTCATAAATAAATATATTGAAATAAGCGCTTTTGATAAAATTGTATTTTGTTGGTTCAATGAATGAATCCGGTGTCGCAGGTCCAGAAAATCTCTCCCAATCAATCCAACGTTTCGACTAATCAATTTAATAACTCCTATAAACCCTCCCTTCGGCTATCCCAAACTCAATTAAAGACGAATTAATCTTCAGTCTACCATCCGTTCGCTGTACTGAATATTTGAAATCGCGACGCCTCGATATTTAGCAGGTAGAATATATAACATTTTAGGCCCTTTCATGTATGCGAAATGCAACTATAACTTCCAAAAAATAAAAAGAAATACTTAGATACACTTGAGCTTAGGTACAGCATGGAAGGTTTCAGACTTCGAGTTGGGCGTAAGCAGCTTTTCGTGAGCTCTTTTGATCGGATTTGTTCCTACATACATTGTGCATTACTTTTATATGGCAGTGCCTTAATTACAGCTATCTATTTAGGCCTAATAAGTCGAAATTGTGCACTTTTCCACGTACAGGAGCCGCGATTCCCATCGACTCGTGCCTACCCTTAATTCCACCCACTTCTCCAGCATCCCCTTCGTCTTTCGAGTGGCCTTCGGTTGTTCAGGATTTTTATTAATAGACACGTACAAGATGCAAAGCGAAGGAGGATTCCCTGATGATTGCTTCTCCGACGTTTCGAACCCCGTTTCTTATGGTAAATTTAATAGAGAAAGTTTATGGATTTAATTATAGTGGATAAAAGAGGTGTGTTTAATACATATTAACCTTTGAACGATCTATTCATCTAGCGTATTCACCTGTGAGTGATTAAAAATTATAGTAATTCGTATTATCTAACGAGTGTTTTGCTTTACATGATTGTGTATTATCGCGGAAATTGCACAATGAAAATCGCTGTGAACTTTTTTATAAGATACAGGAAATATTTACATATTTTTCGATCGCCAAATCAATGGTTGTTTCCACCGAACCTAAACTGCCCTCGCTCCTAAAAAAAGGACGACATCAAAAGAACCTCCACCTTTATTATCCCGTATTCCTTCGGTTAAAAATCGCTGCCGACCCCTAGTTTGTTGTTCCTGTTGCCATTGACGATACACTACACACTTTTCTTTCTCCCCTTCCTCTTTCCTTCGTCCCTAAATCTTCGATCCTCGAGGCCCGCGTGTGTGTGTCGGTATTCCATGCCCGAATGGAGAATTTTCGAGGATCGTTACCGAACGAATTCCTCCTTACAAGCCATTACAGCGATCCCATTATGAGCGGTGAAAGAGGTACTAGTTAAAACAGAGTTAGGAATGGTGTATTTTTGCAATAAGATGAACCAGAGTAGGATGTTGGGAATGGTGTATTTTTGCAATAGAAGAGTAGGATGTTGTTGGAGTTTAATGGATTTCGTGATGGTGTCAACTCTGTCGCCGATTCGATTCGTACCCGTAATGTACAATTTCTGCTCACTTAGGAAGGCATCAACCTGTTAAATCTACCGATAAAGGGCCGAAGGGCATTCGGCTTTCCAATTACGCGTGTCTTTCGCCTCCGCGTTGCCGGGTTTTGGTCGATGTTGCGTTATGGTACATGAGAACAAAATGATCGAGCTTATTTAGGCGTTTCTCGGGGACAGGCAGGGCAAAAATTACACGCGGAATTTGTTGATTGTTCGGCGGAAATTCGCCGGGAGAAGAACCGGTCAGGAGTTTGCGATGAAAAATTGCTGTAAAGATGCTAGAAAGGCATCAAAGAGAAGGAACTGTAGACCATCGGTTGTTTGTATAGGGACATTTTTTGTAAATTAAGAAGTAGAAAACTCTATATTCAATTAAAAAATTCAGGTGATTATTAAAAGAGTACTTTTGAATAGTATCGCTGCATTATAAAGCAAAATTTAATATATCTAGCGAAGCAAAATAAAAGAAGGTAATATAATATTTTTTATCTCAAAATTTTCATCCAGATATGCAGGAAACGCGTCCCTTCCAGGGAGCACACAGGTGAATTGAGCGACGGTATTTGGAAAATTTAAATTTAAAATATCCTCTCGGATGGGCGCAGATCGACGTGGAGATTCATTTTGCGGAAAAAAGCGGCGCATCAGCCTTTTTTTAATAATGCAACCTGTAAGCACCGCATCTTCGGTGCTTTTGTTTCGCGCCGGAGCTTTTAAAAAGTCTGTTTTGGGCGGTGTTGATTTCGAAAAGGCTTTCGGTAAATGGAAAATCTCGGAGCGGTTTCGAGATGGATTGCGATGATATTTCGAATGGGAGAAACGGGTCGCTAAATTACATAAAAGTCATGTAAATTTATGGGTAACCGGCGAGCAGATTTGGCTAAATTTGATGACCTAAAAAGTTTCCATTGAAACCCTGTAATTGAATGCAAATAAAAAAGCGCTCGCGGAATAGAAAAATGTATATAGACTGTGATGTTTGAGTACGAAGTTTATGGGATTTTGGTTGAAAATGTTGAACTACAGAGGATGCTTTCCATTCCGTTTATGAGCTTTCAAATTAGAAGGATTAGTTTTTACGGTTTAACATAATTCGATTAGACTACCATTTTACCTGGCTTGTTATTTAACTCGTTTGTAATTCCCCTCAAGCACCGCATAAAAAACCGGTTAATCCGAATCAAAAATAAAATAAAACAGAACGACACGATCCGATCATCAATTGCCATTAAAATTACGTAATGGCTATTATCCAACATATCCAAAAGTAATAATTACTCGAGCGTAGCCCATGAAATAAAATACACACTTATTATAACAGCGTTGAGTGAAAGAGTATTATTTAGGGCGTCCGATGGTTGTTATTCCACGTGAAATTGCGCCGCGTTGCCACATCAACTCCACGAAAGTTCAAGGAAACGAAAATCGCAAGTTTATTACCAATTCCTACAGCAAATCCTCGTCGTCGTAGAAATCCCCGAAATCGTTGAAGAAATCACCATGAACCGTTTTGTCGTTCGCCGTTAAATCCGTCAGCAATTCAGCGGAAGTACCGGCCTCTTCCAGCTCTATATTCGGCCCGGCGCCTTCCGGGAACATTTCATCAACCACCACAGGTTTCATGTTTTGATAATCTCGCGATATTCGGAATATTGCAGACAGGAAATTGACAAAACCATTAACTCAGTGACACTAATTGTCAATTGATAAATGTAAAAATGGTTTAAGAAATTGGTGGTTTCTAAGCGATTTATTTGGTTCAGTTAGTTGGTTCTGCATAATAGATTGGTGAGGTGATGAAAGAAGGGATAAATGTGATCTAGATAATGGACCAAAAATCGCTAGTAAAATAGAAGAAATTCGTAGATATTATAGAGAATCTATCATAGCAAATTATTTGATCCAGTTAATTGGTTCTACATAATAGATTGGTGAGGTGATGAAAGAAGGGATGAATGTGATCTAGATAATGGACCAAAAATCGCTAAATTCGTAGATATTCGGGTTTATAATTTTATTTCTGTAGGACTTTTATTAAATTTTTTTTGAGAAATCAACTTCTCTCTCTTTGAGAAATCTCGAGTTTATTGAGTTTCAATAAAAAATTGAAAAATAAATACTGCATTTTGCGTTCATAATTTTGCCTTACTACTTTACTGTAGCAAATGTTGCACCAAAACAATGGTTATAACAAAAAAAACAAGCACCCAAGCTTGCATTGCAGTAAATGGGAACAATTTTGAACATCTTGTATAAGTAATTGAACTGTTAAACTATTATTTTATTATCTCGATTTCTGTAAGACTTTTATTACATTTTTTTTGGGAAATTAACTTCTCTCGTAACAGTGCATATGTGGTTAAAATTTGTCGGATAAGTTGTGAAACACCCTGTATAAATCGAGCGCCAGTTCGAAAACTTCACAACCCATAACACCAACAACAACACCATCGAATCGACGCCAATCGAGTACGAAAAGTCGCTTCTTCTTCTTCTCCTTTGGCCTCCTGTCTAATGACATACAGCCAGGTTCTTTGTTTTGTTATTACTGGTTGCTTGAAGAGTGTACCGTGAGGTACGTCTGAAGGTCTGCTTCATGCCCTTCAAGGGTAGGAATAGGTAATTACAAAGGTTAAATAAAGACTCTTCTCTCCCTGTGGTGTGTCCAGGACATTGTGTTACACCAGGAAAGTAGGATGAATTGAAGGATTTTTTTTTCTAGAAAGAAAAGGTCAACTTTAATAGTTAGTTCATATGAAGAAATCTATTTCTCTACCGTTCTACAATCAACGAAAAGTCGCCTTCGATTGCGATCGTAGAGTAGAAAAAAAAAAGAAAAGAAGAAGTGAATCATCGATGGTTTGTAGAGTACGTCGGGCAACGCGGCCTCCTCGCCGAAGAGGGCCCGCGGAAATCGAAGAGATCCGACCACGTAGGGGGGACCGGCGTCGGCGATGCCGGAGAGAGAATCGGCGCTTTTAGATTTCAGAACTGGCAACCGGCTGAAAGCTGAGAAAACCCGAACCGAACCGGCGGCGCGGCGGCCAGTCATCCGCCGACCGAGCGAGGCTGATAATGTAGGTCGCGGTGGTGCGGCTGGCGCGCTAACATCGCGCTCATCTTCGACGAGCACTTTTGGAACTCCGGGAGCGACCTGACGGGTTATTTTCGAAGGCTTCGCTGGATATCGCCCCGACGATTCTCTTCTCTTTAGTTACGCGGTGTTTGTTGTACGCGAATGTTGTATTTAATCGTAAGTGCGTAGGTGTCGGGAGTGCTACGAGCTGGAATTCTTTTTTAAACGTGTTGGTTGGTGTTGCTCTCTAAACATTCCTTCTTTCTATTTGAGAGTGGTTACGGTTACGGAGGAGTGGTTTAGTGTCGGGTTATTTTTTTTTATTATTGTTATTTTAGGTGGAATGTAGTCAATTTTAATAACGCTGGAGGATTATTGCTGAACAGCTGCTGTTTAAATGGTAAATTATTAGGGAAACGAGATTGTTTTAGTGTGAAAATATAAATGAAATCGACTACACACACTTAAATTTCATAGAATTAACTACTTGTTGCCAAATACAAACGATGCAATCTGATAATACGAGAGCACTTATTGATATTATATAAATCTTATCAATCGATGAGAAATTACCAAACACACATATTTACATCATTCCTAGAATCGAAATTCAATTTACCAAACACACATATTTTTCATTTATCTATTATTCCTAGAATCGAAATTCAATTTACCATTACAACTTCATACAGTTACATAAATTCCTACATATTGTTAAATAACCAGAAACTAATTGAAATTTAAATTTTTTTTCAAGGTTAAATCTTACTAATTACTAATGTTTACCCATCGACTCAAACTACGATATAAATAACCATAATTTTATGTGTAATGCTTCACATATGCACGGATTGTTTACGGCATTTCCAATCTGCTATTTAGTATTTACGACATTTTGTTCGGGATACATTCGACATAATAGTACTTATTCTATTTCGGTCAATTTGCTAATGCAAATAACGCGATTTTATTACCGAGGTAGTACCTCGAGCTGAACTAAACAAACCTCTAATTAAATCCAACGCTACCTTTATTATTTCTCTTACCATACAACTTATTAACGCATTCGAAACTCCTCATTATCATTCGGTGCTCATTAATTGAACGAAATGTATCTAAACAACAGCCCGGAAACTTTGGGAAACTTTTTCTTAGTCCCCTGTAATATACGGCGTTCGGGATAAATAATATCCCGGGGAGCACTTGTCAAGGAACAGTCTCGAAAGTAATTTAAAGGGAAAAAGGTCCTTCTACACGAACGGAATATTACGAAAACGAGATCACCCGCAACACAGATGGGACGTGAAAATCCATACACCGATACAAGAAAATCCTCGATATCTGTAAAGGTGGATTTCGAGCAAAAAATCGAAGCATTCTGGACTAGGTACTGGATTAGTCCGGTCCTGGAAATCAAAAAGTTATATCTGCAAAGCGCCCGCATTCTCTTAAGAAGCATTTGCAATTCATCCAGGCGACGACAGAGTTGGAGCAATAACCTTTTGCTTCGCACAAAAACTTCGATTGTCACATAATAAATTTGAAAGGGATCAGTACTAAGACCTCGTGCAGTGATAAATCAGTTTTTTTACACAGCTGCAGGATTTTCTCCTTTTATTTATTTATCTCCTGTGTTTGTTTGGCTTTTTGCAGGGCGCATGATAAACACCCCTTTTTCACTCGTCCTGCTCCGGTCTTCTGATTACATGTTATGTCGTTTAGAATTAGATTTTTAAAGCGTTAAGTTTTGTATAATACTAATGGTTCCCGAAGTAACAAAACTAATTTAAGAAATCTAAAATTAACGTCCGAAGTTTTATTCAAAAAGTGCATAAAAATAGAAAGTTTTCTTTGAAATATGCGACGATGTTAATAAGGAAGACAACCAATCATATCACCTATAAAACTCGGCTTAATTAACGAAGAAAAACGAGATTTATGAAGATATTGTGCTAAAATCCAGTGGGCCATAAATTCGTTTCCAAGAACAAAGAATAATATTAATTTCCCGTCTACGATTTTAAAATTTCCACTCAATTTCTTAACAGATAAAAATTAATATCCCGAGTGCCCAGATTATTTTCTCGCTTGAAAAAAAAAACGAAATTAAATTTCGTCCCGATCTAAATTGTTAATTACGCACCAAATCCGGCGAAAAAAAGGGGTAGCAAATTCGAGCAGGCATTGTATATACCAAATGAAAAACGGCAATTATTGATTTTCGCAGAATAAAATAAAACCGGCGTATGTCTGTGCCTGCCATTGTTATTGCGACCCCTATATCTTCTCGGGCGCAAAAGGACCGACTGGGGTGTTTTTCTGTCTTTTCTAATAGCTCCCACGGCGAATGAGCGGCAGTTTCGTTCATTCATTCCTTCCACCGGACCGTGGGGAGTGAAACGACTCCACGGTGTGAATATAGATCCACTTGCACAACCCGTTTCGTTGAACAATAAATAGGCACTAAGTGAATAACTCATTAGTCACAACTAACCCTTCTTTAGCAGCGCAAACTGTTGAACAATTCGGACAAGAAATTTCTTTCTAGAGGCAATCGTATGACTCTTTAGTGTTGTCCGAATTTCTGCAGATGACTGCAGATGGCGATAATCCACAAGTGCTTTGAATACAATGAGGGGTTTATATTTGGCAGCTCCCGAGGGGTGGATAAATAAGCGCGCGGTCCGGCATCGAGTCAGGTTCTGCTTATTTTAGGGATTTTAATGCAAATGTTGCATGATCGGATCGGATGTAGTTGATGGGGGATGGATCTGGAATTGATGTTTGGAGAGCAAAAATTAGGGTATCGTTAGCAGTGTTGTACGAAGGGAGATGGACAAAAGGTCTTCTATAATACTCCCAAAATAATATTTTTTTGGATATCCTTTACAGAATATTTATATAAAAACATGAATATCTTTATATTTATCGTTTGTGATAAAATTAATGAGCGTATACAACATTATTCAACTAGTTACATTCGTATAATAACGCCCTCCTACCTTTTTCTTTCGGTAGCAGTTAATTATTGTTGGTTTGTTTTCGAATTTATTAATAGATTATTTCGGATTGACAAGTAAATTCTTCGTTATGCAACTGGCCGCAATCGAACTGTATCTCGTTTGACCTAAATAAATTTATCTGGTGTAACTTACAACCAGGCGTACTTACATAAATCCGTTGGATCACGTTTTAACAGCCATAAAAACGATTAACTTTAATCTAAAATGATACATGTGTAATTATCTTCCCTACATTTCATCTGACTCGAAAGAAATTTGAACTAGTATTTCGAGAAATCGAGCGGGATTTGCCAAAATCTTCGTTAACATACTTTTTTCACGTGGGAGTTATTCGACGGTAATTTGCAATTTCTAAACGACTGAAATGAACGATTTACAGTTCCACAAAAGAACGAACGTTCCACGCGGGGAACTTTTTAACGAAAGAGAAGAAACTTATGATATCCAGTAAAACATAAAGTGCACCATTAGTCTGTTCTATAACAAGTTCAAGTAGATCGAGAATTTTTGTCATTCAATTTCATCGTCGTCGAGCGAATCGAAATGAAATTCACTTTAATTGCGCCGGGTCTCGCTCCGTCGATGGTACTTGTACAAAAATTAACATTTCCAAATTCGTCCGGTAAATTACCTTGCTGTTACGGTAATTTACGTTAGGAATCGAGCGTCAAATTATCCGTAATAACTAAAGCGAATTAACTTTAGGAATCCATTAATTGAACGTAGGAAGGTTTTTTTATGTCAGCAATTGTTGCATGCACAAAACGAGTGGGTTTCTTTCTATAATATATCACAAATTGCGTTCTAATGTTAAGGTCGAAATGCTGTAACAAAGCAAAAGTTCGCGAATTTTGATTGCGTGCATTCTGCTTATCTAAAGAATAACCTGTCTCGAAGCAATAGGTTAGTTAGAAGTAATTATAATTATCATACTAAAAACGCTAGAGTGGAAAATTCGCAATTAATAGCCCACAAGCCCGACTATAATTCCTCGTCTAACTTAAACACAACATAGAACGCAGCGTGGAAGTTTATTGAAAGCTCTAAGCCCGGCTCTACGCTCTATATGCACGCTCTAACTCAATCTAAAGTATGAAGAATGCCGCACTTTTCCATTTCTCTAAAGTTTTAATGGTACGAGGCGAAGATAATGGAAGAACAAGAGGCGATTCTTGTAGGAGTTGGCGGAGATCTTCATCGAAATTGGTTTTTTTATATCGATTAGGGACTTTTGAAACAAGTTTAGAGCATCAAGGAATTTAGTTCGCCTCGTATACGTTATAAATTACAATTTAAAGTTGCTTAAAGTACAACAAGTGTTCGAGAGGCAATTTAAACCAATTAATTTAATTGTCTCGAGTGCTCTTTACTCTTTGTGTTTGTAGTATACAATACGATTTACCTTTTCGCAGCAAAATGGTCTTATTATGAAAAAAGAATCCAATAAAATTACCTCTCGAATGAAAGTAATTTTTCATCCTGTCTCAAATCCAACCATTCCAACCGCTCTTTTTTTTCCTTCTCCTTTTCCTATTTGATTTGATTGCTTTCGATCCGACTTACAATGGAGAATTATCGGATAAATAAGAAACCGTATGCGCTGATTAACCAACAAACTTCCAATCCAAACAGATTTATACAAAGAAAAAAGTTTCGAAATATACCGAATAAATTAAATCGGCATACATTACTACTATCTGGCTGTTTTCAAATGTTATACAACGAAATGTTTTATTTATTTCGGCGTTCAAAGTTCATACATTACCGCATTGTTATCTCTTTATTCGGAAAATAATTGAGTAAGCTCCCACCAAAATGGCAACAATATGTCTTTTTGAGTCATGATGTTTTTCGAGTAATTCTTTATATTTATACAAAATTTTATTTCAGGTGGAATGGCACGTGCTGGCATGGCATTAAGAAGAGGAGCGAATCAGGGGAATGCAGAGTGAGTAGATAAATTATCGCAATTTCTTATTTGAATACGAAACGATGAATAATTTAAACGTTATAACGTATGCATTATAATCGTTTTTTTTTGGCGCCTGTTGATAACGTTTGCAGAAATTGAGTCGTTTACTCGATGATAAATTACGAATTTTATTATCTTCATCTACCGAACAGGTTTCTTTACCCATCGTTCAAGTACCCGATAGATCTTTGCATTAAACTGAACTAAATTATCGATTCCCGTTGTATTGATATGGCTAGTTTTTTCGTCGACATTTAAAATATCGGCTCCCCACAGGCCTGGTATTCGACTCATTCATCATTTTCCATGCAACAACGCGTCGACTATTTTTTTTCCCGAAACATGGCAATATGCCAGCTATATTGAATGTAATGCAAATATATGCGAATTTTGTGCAGATCCGGTCTCATATAAAATACACATACAGTAGAAAATAGAGGATGTAGTGAATGAGGAACAGTATTTAAAAAATATACTGCTCCACAAAAGTTAAGGAAGTTCACAAATATTGAGATTAATTTAAAAGTTGCAGGTTTTTTGATCACCAAATTTAGTGTGAGTTGTAGAGGTAGGGACAAAAAATCCACTCAGATATGAGAAAAAAACATTAAATTTCGCATCTTTGAAAATTTGGTGATCAAAAAGTCTGTAACTTTTAAAATAATCTCAATATTCGTGAACTTCCTTAACTTTTGTGGAGCAGTTTATTACAAAGCAAACTAATTGATTACCCTAACTGCATGATAAATTCTCTCTACCTTTTAGCGAGATTGTTTATGTAGTTGATCCGATTATTCCGGTATCCTCTTGAACAAACATATTTTTTTCGCGTTGTCCGCATAAAAATGTATTAAAATTCGCGGGCGCGAAATACAAAAATTAAACATTACTCCGCAGGAATTAGCATAACGCAATTTCGCCCGTTTTATTTTCGCCTTTTTCCTCGCAAAGAATATTCAGAGTGTCGCTTTGAAGTTCTCCCGAGCAACCAGCGGCGCCTATTTAAAGAAGTAGGTCGAATTTTTCTTGTTAGTCATGCACGAGGAATCCCTACTGGAGGTAATGAAATTATTCATAGTAAATTAGCTCGTTTAACTCATACAGTTTAACTCGAACGTTTGTTTATTTTTACTCAAGAAAGTCGATTTGAAACGAAGGGGAAAGCTGATTGAGGATCGATAAAAAAACATCGCCTGTTAAACATGTAGCAATCGTTCGTTTCCCATCGGAAAACTCCGAAGGCTCTAATGAAAAGCTCAAATCACGAGGTCGATTTCAATACAATCTCTCTACAAACACCGGGCGTTAAGCGTTCCCATGCCAAGTCGTAGACAGTCAATGATGTTATATTAAAACAAACGGTCGTAAATGCTAATGAATTCGACCAGATGTTGGCCTTAATCTAGCTAATCGAGCCGTGTAAATTTTTCAACAAGTCTTCCTCGAAGGGGATGCTAACCAGAAGCAATTACTCAAGCTTGTGTGTGAAACACGGCGTTCTTTCGGATCACGTTCGCCCGAAATTTAATTTCGCTGCGTGTTATTTAACGAAATTATTAGAATAGGAAAGCGGGAAATAGTGTTGTAAATAATATCCCGGAATATGCTATTGAATTGCTTCCAACTCGCTGATTGCGCGCCGACTTTGGAACGAATTTTATTATAGAAGTTAGAAGTTGAAATTCGAAATATTAGCAAGGTGAGTTGTTTTAATTACGGCCGATGGACGGGAGTTGTGTATAGGGAAAAGTTTCGAGTGGATCATTTCGCCTATCAATTAGAATTAAAACGAATTAATATTGCCACTATTCACTCGAACTATGGTTAACCGAAAAGGAGCTTTGAAGTTTTCCTCGCATTATGCAAATACACCTTCGAAGCGCCTAATTCGCCGGCAACAATTTTCTCGCAACGAAATTATCCGAGGATTCTCCTCTAACGATGCGCCGGAGTGTTCGAAATACAAATGGAAGTAGCATTTAGAAGAGGGCGCCATTGTTCGACTGCGCGACAGAAAGAATTTTAAATTCCAGAGGACGCTCCTCTTTACCTGTAAGATTGTTTACACAAGGACCGGCTTAGAATTCGGTAATGATGTGCAAATAACGCCTTTGTCGGTCGGATGTTCCGAGACAACAAAAATAAAAAAGATATACCTTCGTATTTACGCGGAGTTCGGGTTGATGTTGATAGATTTTTTCTGGTCAATCAATCATTCGCTAAAACATGGAGCGAACCTTTCTCCGAAGTTTCTCCGATGTTTTCCAGTTCCACAGGCAAGCCTAACAATATTTGCCAGGAACAAGGATAATAGACCCACTCCAACCAACTAACTGCCTGTCCTTATTTACTTTGCAGACAGCTTTTAACGTAATGTTTAACGGCATTGGTTCCGCTAACGGGAAATCCGTTATTTTACCGTTTTCCTGGGTTAAATCGGGGTAGTTCTTATTCTACAACCAATTCGCTTTACGCGTTTCAATTAAATTCCAATTTCCCATTGGAAAGGGTACGTTTTATAGTCGTTTGTACTACGCCAGTTATTCCTGCACGTCTATGTTTATTATTTAATATTTGAGCTAACGTATTGTGTTTATAGAGCAGGGAGGAATTTTGGCCATCTGGGTCTCGTATAAAGTTCTAAAGGTACAATTTTAATGAGCTAGATCAATACTCGAAATATAGGAAAACCTTTTGCTAGAATTATTCAATCTTTAGAAACAAATTGCAACACATCTAGTACAGATCATAAATTGCTCATTAAATATTATTCGAAGACCACTCTCGTTCTAATTCGCTTTAGGTAAACACATCGTTGGGACATCGGGAGGAAATTTTTAATTATTGCTGGGCAAAAGAGCGGAGTGCATTTCGTGCAACGTTGCCGATGCTTCGGTTTGCAGAGGTTCAGCACCCTTTAGGATGGAAGATGGAACGTTGATAACTGTTTTCGAGGGGATTTCGACGGTCGTTAACCGAAACTACGGGAGATATTGGCGGAACGTGGGGGGATTTCGTCTCTTTTCGGGGAATGGGAAAAGCGTCGCCGGCTGATAAGGGACCCGTCTTTCGAACTTCTGCGGGATTAAATACGTTTAACGATTGAATTATATTCCGAATGCAAAGGTACAACGAACTGTATTCGATGTGAGAAATAAAAACTAGCTGGTTCGGGGAAATTTACACGCAAAACGAAATTACCGTCGGCGTAAACTTTTTTACTGTCGCTCGCCTTTTTTTCGAACAAAACTTATTTTATGTTCGCGTTTATTTACAAACTCGAAACGGTACAAAGGAGAAGGCTCGACTCGCGTAAAATAAACAAGCGAAATTGACCGGGTATAAAATATCATCGGAAATGAAAACGGAACAAGAAGACGCCACCTTCAGGAAGAATATTGGTTTTTTATACGCATGTATAAAAAGCAAGCTTTTTAGTAAATATGAATTTTGATTCGATCGATGGATTTTACGATGAAATTAATGAAGTTGCAAATCCGCGGGCGGATTAAAAAATCTACCGGATTAAAATAATGCATTTTCCGAACATAATAGCATCAAAGCTGTAAAAGCCCAAAACAAAACCGATTGCATGTCACGCATATTGCCCGGCATTTGAACAATAATAGTCGTTTCCCAGTTATTAGTTAATTTCGCTTTGTTCCAGTGAAAATTCAAACCCCAACACACCACCATAAATAATCACTATACTAAAAAAAATTCCCGTAATGAATCGAGAATCACACACAGCGCGTTTAAACGTGTCCTTGTAAAGGATCCTTGCCAGTGAAAGTCTCCCCCAAGACCAAGACGGTGGATATCGATCCGTTGTGTCACGCAGGAATTAGTCCAGGGGCAGGATAAGTATTTGCACAAGGAAATTGATGTCGGAATCGTCGATGAGTTCCTGCGGATGAATGAAGCTAAAATCCTGATGCTTCATCCTTCTAAAAAATGAAGGAATCGCCCCGCGGGACACCCTGTATCAGGAGTGAAATCGATTCCGCATGAAACTAACTTCCGATTCCCTTCTTTCGGCTGTTACCGAACGAAATCATTTTCTCCCGCTAATAATAGTGTTGTCATTGACAGGAAAACGATTGATTTATAGGTTTGGTTGCGCGCGAGGGGTTCCGAAGATATCATTTTTTCCCTTAATCATTTAATCGATGCGCAATCGTCGAAACGCAGATTAATAGAGGAGTTAACCGGAACGCGTTTTTCGCCGGATAATTTACGGTTTTCCTGATGGGCTTCAACTCTGTCTTCCTTTATCTGAGCGTATATCAATCTCCATTGTAGCAGTTGCTCGTGGGATTTTTATCGAAAGTTCATTGACTGAATATATACGCGATGTAATGGCGCGGAAAAGTTCTAATCTACATTTAAAAATCGAACGGCTTGGCGCAATTAACGGCTTAATAAAATATATTACCTGCTTGGAATAAAGGCTATCAATCATAGAGTTCATAAACGGGCGATTTACCTCAAAATTCTAATCTCGCTTTATATACACGAACTCGACGAGTAGTCGCGAAAATTAATAGATAAGCCCTAAACGACAGGATGATACAAAATTAATGGACGCCATGGAGAGTTCGATGCTACCCCTTTCTGACGCAGGATTACACCGAGGGGTAACATTCGCGCCTAAATGATGAATGTACCGGCGTACTCCCTTTTGTAAAATCGCGCTCTGCGGGGATTTTTTATTGCTGTAATATGTACAATATATTTCGACTTGTCATCGTTTTTGGTATATATACAATATTTTGCTTCTATTCCTAAACAAACACGAATAATTTAATCTCTCTACGGCTATTATTTTGTATATGTAAATTAATCAAAAGTTCATTCAATATTAAGGTCAGTTATTAGATAACAGCGTTTATTAATTTGTGAATGAATTAAAATCTCCCGCTGATTCTATTGCTCCATAACTTTCAATTAATTCACAATTTTCCCCCCCTCTGTTA